ATGCCCGTTAAAGCTGTTTTTCGGGGGTCCACTTGTATGGAGCTATCCGAAAACATGGACCGCTATTGCCCGTTTTCAATACCAAACAAACCTTACCTATGGAGAATATCTCAACCCCCTAGCTCATTCCGTTCGGACTCTATCGTGCTTTCGTCTTAGAATTTAATAAGAACCCAGAATATTTTGTGGGTCTATGGCCAATATTTCGATGTGTTACAAACGGAATAACAAAATCAATCAAAGATGTGGGGCATATCCTTTTTGATGGTGGGTATAGTAAACATATATATTACTTTCTATTTATAGAACGAAATGTGAATTCGAAATCAAGAGAATTCCATACAGCCGATGAATATATACATGAGATGTCAATATGGGCTGGCCCAAATGGGTTTGAGGTTAGTATGATTGAATATATTCTGTGTGTCCACAGTACAGTATGTCGAGGACCGTAGTACGGGCAAAATTGCACCAAATTGTACGAATGAAGAGTTTGCAAAGTAAAACGCTGGAACAATTTCTACGTATTTACCACGCTTTCGCTGATATTATCATCATAATATACCAGATACTTCCCTCAGGAGGAACACTGATTGGAAAATTCTATGGAAGTTATCCAAATTTCAAAACATCTGTCCTTTATACAGGACATTTTACCAAAATGTACAAAGTTAATGAGGGGCCGATATTGACCTGGGCCTATTTCTATGGATTTTAACCTAACCTATTTTCTTTAGGATTTAAGACCTGTAAATTAAGTTACAGTTTTAGAACACCAGTAATTCTATACCAAACAATCTTCTAATCCAGTGGATACACATAAATGTATGATAAATTTGATCGCTACTGTAAATCGGTTGATAACCACATAGGTATTTCTTATAGTATTTTTATGAATTTAATCGAAAGTATTATTCGTTTAAGTCTGATCCCTGGTAATTTAACACCAGCTACATTCAATCACAACAAAACTGTTTAATTCATTCTTAATGTACGACTAACTATCTGACTGAGTGACGAAAAGTCTGTGTGTCATAAGAAATTCAATTATGAATTCAAATTGCGTTTTAGCAATCAACCAAAAGTATGAAAAGATAGCAAGCAGGGAACACAGAAAAAGAGATAGAGGCAGAAAGAAGTAGACTTTGTTGTTCAATACCAAAATCAAACGCAAAAGGATAGATAATGAGCTTGTGTTTATGTAGGAACGGGGAATGGTAACTGATGTTGGTTAGTTGGATAGATGGATGGATTGTTTTATGAATGGAATAGGAATATAAATGCGCTACAATATTTATGCATTTATTTAATTTATTTTTCTCTATTTATTTTATTATAATTCTAAAAATGTCATTAATCTAAACTTTAAACATATTCCAGACAAACAACCAGTAAGAGGAATTTAATGTTAAAAAATTGCTTATCACAAGAATGTTTACGATTCTCAATCCTTTTTGCTCTGTGCATTTTATTTATTTACAATCATGATGATTCCTTTTGTTACAACATTTCCCTAATTTTTTATGAGTTTTTTTTATATTTTCGCTTTTAACTTCTTATTCATGTCTTCTTTTGCTTTGGTTTTTGTTTACAAAACCAGCAAATCAATCTCGGCTTAAATTGTTGTTTTTGTTGGGGTTACAATAATACAGGTGATTGACAACAACAAATACAATGCTCATTATTTATGTTTGTTGTAAACCCTTTTTAGACATTGTAGTAGTTTTATTTGTTGCCCTTTTTTAAGCCTTCCTAGAGCCACAGCACATAGACAAATAATGGAGATTTATTTACACACGTGTAATAAACCATTCAATACTCTTTATACTCGTAACGTAATATTTTTAGCTCTCTCTCTTTCTATGTCTCCTCTTTGCTCTGCCGTCTATTTCAAAGGGATCCAAACTTCATCGAACACTATAATAAAGGATTGACTGTTTGACTGACTGTCGCTCTGGGTTTGTCGGTCTGTCTGTTTCAGTTGGCTCAAAGTCATGTAAAAATCTATTTACAATATTAAGAAAAAAATTCAATCATGATTGTTATTTTTATTTATTTCTCTTTTTTACGTTGAGAAGGCTTTATTGTTTGTGTCGTTTTACCAACACCAACACAAGATTTTGTTGTTTTGTTTACAATTTCTTGGCTCTGACTTGTTTTGGCCTTTTCCCCCTTTTTCAGTTCTTTTGTCGTTGTTGTTCTTAGACATATTCTTAGATTTAGTGATAGAACTTGTTGTAGTTTGTAGAGAAAAAAATAAATGAAGAACCCAGCAGGCTCCATCCAACCAATACACAATTTTCCATTGACTTTTCGTTGAGAAGGATGGCCGTTACAAAAACAACAACAAAGAGAATATTAAATAAACAAAAGTACAGTCTTAAGACCAGTTTTTCTTCCCACAAAGAAAAACTTGTTAAGTCAACTTGTTCTTTTTTTTCTTTCATATTTTCTTTAGATTTTCAATTGAAATTTTATAATTTCTACAGGTCTTTGACTTATACAACAACAAACAGAATTTTTCTTTTTCCAAACAAAGGAAACCCTTTTTTTTTATAAAATCGCTTATAAAATTGTGTTTTTGCTCAAAATTATAGAAAATTATTTTTATTGAGCCACCAAGAAATACTATTGTATTGAATTCGATTCCCAAATAATGTGAATTATTTTATAAACCGATTAAAGTCATAAACGGAAGGAAGGAAACATAGATTTGGTTGAAATAGAGAAAACAAGTGCAGTCACATGTAAGACTGGTAATGGTAAAACAATAAAAAACAAGATTTTTAAGGGGACAAAATCAAAATGTTTTGTTTTTTTTACACAACCCTAATAAAAATGTCATATAAATAAATATTATGGACATATTTAATCGGATCATGTCCGAAGATTTAGGGTGAGAAATTTTTTAATAAAATTATATTGCCAATAATTTTAGCTGGATTATTTTCTTAAAAAAATTTAAAATATTCTCATGGAAATCTCATGGATTCAGATATAAACTACAAAAATATTGATTGCATTGAAATTAGTTTTTAACCATTCAGCTAGATTTTGTTCAGTGGTTCGTTTTTAAATATGATATAGAATGGCTTCTTAACTTACTGCAAAACTTCGGAATGGTTCACGATTCCCCATCATAAGTGTATTCTCAAAATACCATCACATTAAAAATCACTTCCATTGCTTGTCGAAATGTGTAAGCATGGACTCGTAACATTTTTTTCATTAAAAAAAACTCTTGCTTTCGTAGAGAATTTCTTTATAGCTTTAATAGCTTTGGGGCGTTGCATACTTTTGAAAGCACCACATATAGAATGGTCAACAAGTCTACCAGTATTATCTAATAATTTGGCAATTTGTCGCCTCTTTGCAAATATTAAAGCCAACAGTTACAAAACCAAAACTTATAAAGGATGTCATCCGGAAAAATAACTCTGTTAGTCTAAAAATACACGATAGATAGATAGATAGATAGATAGATAGATAGATAGATAGATAGATAGATAGATAGATAGATAGATAGATAGATAGATAGATAGATAGATAGATAGATAGATAGATAGATAGATAGATAGATAGATAGATAGATAGATAGATAGATAGATAGATAGATAGATAGAAGATAGATAGATAGATAGATAGATAGATAGATAGATAGATAGATAGATAGATAGATAGATAGATAGATAGATAGATAGATAGATAGATAGATAGATAGAATAGATAGATAGATAGATAGATAGATAGATAGATAGATAGATAGATAGATAGATAGATAGATAGATAGATAGATAGATAGATAGATAGATAGATAGATAGATAGATAGATAGATAGATAGATAGATAGATAGATAGATAGATAGATAGATAGATAGATAGATAGATAGATAGATAGATAGATAGATAGATAGATAGATAGATAGATAGATAGATAGATAGATAGATAGATAATAGATAGATAGATAGATAGATAGATAGATAGATAGATAGATAGATAGATAGATAGATAGATAGATAGATAGATAGATAGATAGATAGATAGATAGATAGATAGATAGATAGATAGATAGATAGATAGATAGATAGATAGATAGATAGATAGATAGATAGATAGATAGATAGATAGATAGATAGATAGATAGATAGATAGATAGATAGATAGATAGATAGATAGATAGATAGATAGATAGATAGATAGATAGATAGATAGATAGATAGATAGATAGATAGATAGATAGATAGATAGATAGATAGATAGATAGATAGATAGATAGATAGATAGATAGATAGATAGATAGATAGATAGATAGATAGATAGATAGATAGATAGATAGATAGATAGATAGATAGATAGATAGATAGATAGATAGATAGATAGATAGATAGATAGATAGATAGATAGATAGATAGATAGATAGATAGATAGATAGATAGATAGATAGATAGATAGATAGATAGATAGATAGATAGATAGATAGATAGATAGATAGATAGATAGATAGATAGATAGATAGATAGATAGATAGATAGATAGATAGATAGATAGATAGATAGATAGATAGATAGATAGATAGATAGATAGATAGATAGATAGATAGATAGATAGATAGATAGATAGATAGATAGATAGATAGATAGATAGATAGATAGATAGATAGATAGATAGATAGATAGATAGATAGATAGATAGATAGATAGATAGGATAGATAGATAGATAGATAGATAGATAGATAGATAGATAGATAGATAGATATATAGATAGATAAATAGATAGATGTGATTTGGTAACCAAATTTCAGAACAAAATTTTACTTAATTTTAATTTATTAAATATGTTGGACCTTTTTTTGAATATTTGTTAAAAGTTTTATTTATAGATAACTCCGAATAATTTACAAACTTTTTTAAAAACGTTTTGACTATCAAATTTTAGTGGAATCATTTGTAAATATTTAAAACAGTCTTATTATTTTTAATTAACTATTTTCTGTTTCAGATCTTTAACATGTTTGGAGTCGAGGTAAGTCGAAATAAATCTTTTCGCGTAAATAACCATTAACAACTGTTTTGTTTGAACCATTCGCAATCTTTTATCCATAAAACCCTTATTTCAACCATGCTTTTGTATGTCACCACTAAGATTGGGTTTCCTTGTTGGGTCCAAATTACTTTTCCATATTTTTGATATTTGTATTAAATAATATTTAGGTTCCTTCATATAGTAAAGTTACCCAGCCATACGATAACATTGCTGCCTTCATTTTTATGTTGATGATTTCTAGTTAAAACAAAAATATTAATACGATTATTTGCGTAACAAATCAATTGACAGCGTTACCAATAATAATAATTGTGAAAGACAGCCTTTATTATACTGATTCGTTTTAACACTGAACAACGCCGAGCCAACTTATTCTTGTTAAGAAAATACAAACAACAACTACAACAAAAACACCAAGAAAAATATCTAAAATTAAGGAAAATAAACATAATCGACGAGACGCGCCCACACGTTTTTGACTTCGCATACAATTTAATGGATGTTGAGGTACTTTTTTTCTTCGTTCCTACTTGCCTCCAACACAGCTCGTTCGTCTCCTTTATTACTTGTGTACGTGTACGTATACGCATTCAACGCTTTCAAAATGTTGAGGCCGCCACACTTCTCTTGTGGTTTTTTTTAAAGACATACTGATTTTCATTATAAAGATGATGAGAAGCAAAACTTCATTATTATTATAATTTTTAACAGAATATTTATTTGTATTCCTATTTTTCAGTTTATCTTTTTTCCGTTTCATTATTTGTTATTTTTCTAAACATTTCTCTTAACAAAATGTTAAATCACGGTTTAAGGCTCAATAATCAATAGGACACACATACCATGAATTTTACCTCTTCCATTTAATTTTGAACATTATTTAAAAACGGTTGCATTGGGTTGATGTTTACATTATTTCTTTTTTAATTTACGTAATAAAATTCGAAAACTTTTGTAAGTCTTTAGAGTAATTTATTTTTTTGAAAATTTAAAGAAATACAAATCAAAATTATGTCCGAAAACTCCTCTTCTCTAATTTGTAACATTTTTTTCTAGTCCTCATAAAGTTATAAAAATTTGTCAGATTTGTAGATTATACTTTATAGTAATCGAAATAACTTTCTAATCCACCCAATATTTCTCAGTTGTAACGAATGTTTTTTGAATATTTATGTGTACATACAACCATAAATGGTATACAACAATGGACAAATAAAAATACTACAAACAAATACAAAATATCTAAAGAAAACTAAAAAGTGCTTTGGAATTTCAATAAATTCTTAGAGAGATAAAGCAATGCAGCTCAAGAAACTCAAACAGGCACTCAGGCAGTCCAACGCAGGCGCATTTGAAAACAAACCGCGAGATCAGACAAATAAAATAAATAAACAACATTAAGGTGACTGAACTTCTACTACATCTCCTCTAAAGACTGTTACTACTACCACGAATACCACCAGTGACTACTAAGAGTACAAACTACTGTAGAGACTAACTAACACTCTTGAAGACTCTGGCGAAAAGAGATTTATTCCTCTTGCCATTTTGTTAATAAATCGAAATCAAAGACTTTTGACAGAAAATTTAAATAATTCATTCGTTTAAATAAAAAGGCTATAGACAGTCTATAGTCTGGTCTATAGTCTAGTCTATAGTCTAGTCTAGTCAATAGTCTAGTTTATAGTCTAGTTTATAGTCTAGTCTGTAGTCTAGTCTTAGTCTAGCTAAAGTCTAGTCTATAGTCTAGTCTATAGTCTAGTCTATAGTCTAGTCTATAGTCTAGTCTATAGTCTAGTCTATAGTCTAGTCTATAGTCTAGTCTATAGTCTAGTCTATAGTCTAGTCTATAGTCCAGTCTATAGTCTAGTCTATAGTCTAGTCTATAGTCTATTCTATAGTCTAGTCTATAGTCTATAGTCTAGTCTATAGTCTAGTCTAGTCTATAGTCTAGTCTATAGTCTAGTCTATAGTCTAGTCTATAGTCTAGTCTATAGTCTAGTCTATAGTCTAGTCTATAGTCTAGTCTATAGTCTAGTCTATAGTCTAGTCTATAGTCTAGTCTATAGTCTAGTCTATAGTCTAGTCTATAGTCTAGTCTATAGTCTAGTCTATAGTCTAGTCTATAGTCTAGTCTATAGTCTAGTCTATAGTCTAGTCTATAGTCTAGTCTAGTCTAGTCTATAGTCTAGTCTATAGTCTAGTCTATAGTCTAGTCTATAGTCTAGTCTATAGTCTAGTCTATAGACTAGACTATAAACTAGACTATAGACTATTCTATAGTCTAGTATATAGTCTGGTTTATAGTCTAGTCTATAGTCTAGTCTATAGTCTAGTCCATAGTCTAGTCTATAGTCAAGTCTATAGTCTAGTCTATAGTCTAGTCTATAGTCTTGTCTATCGTCTTGTCTATAGTCTTGTCTATAGTCTTGTCTATAGTCTTGTCTATAGTCTAGTCTATAGTCTAGTCTATAGTCTAGTCTATAGTCTAGTCTATAGTCTAGTCTATAGTCTAGTCTATAGTCTAGTCTATAGTCTAGTCTATAATATTGTCTATAGTCTAGCCTATAGTCTTGTCGTTAGTCTAGTCTATAGTACGTATTGTCGTTGCTTCCACAAAAGGAGTCATGTGAAAACTTTCAATTTTTTTTTTTTACAATTAATTGCCTCCAAAGAAACAAAAATTTAAAAAATAAATGAAGTATTTAAAGTTCTGCTTCAAAAAGAGAGCAAAATGGAGAGAATTTTAAGAAAGTATTGAAACTCCTTTCCATTTTACTCAGTTCTCTATTAAAGGCAACAAATATAATGATTTTTATTTTGTTTTTTTTTTTTTTTTTTTTTTTTTTTGGCACATGAAGAAACTAAACTGTGAGATTTTCTATATATTCGACTCTTTCACCGAAAACTTATTACGTAGTACAAAAATCGTTCCTTGGAAGTCTGGTGTTAGAGAGAGGGGAGTTAAAATTTTCTTCCTCCACATGTTTGAGCAGTTCAAACACCACATAGTTAGTTTTGTTAGTTAGATGCATTAAATATTTTGTAGTCGTTTCTTTACTTAAGATAAATAAATTTCAAAGTCTGGAAGAAGTACATAGACTGAAGCCAAACATTTTGTATTTGTTAATGTTAGAAACGAATTCCTTCTTCTCATTTCTGCTCTTATTTTTGTATACAAATAAATATTTGTTTAGATTGTGTTATTTTGTTGATATTGTTTTAAGTAAATACTATTTTTTATTACTTTTAAGTAGTTTACACAATAATCATAAGCACTGCAGGCGATAATTATAAAATTAAAGAAAAAAAGTTATAGAAAAATAAATTGCATTTAAAATAAAAATAAGTTGTTTAAAAATAACTTCGAATCGTCTTAGGATCAAAAACAATACATTCATAGATTAAAATTTTTTGTATGATTAACTTAAAACTGTTTTTAAGTGTTTTTAATTAAATTTCCCAGAGTGTAATATTTAACCTAAACTATACTTAACTTTTTGAGTTCTTATTAATGTAAATAATAAATATTTGAACTTAAACATAATATTTGCATATAGTTTTTGTTTCTTTCATAAAGCATTTCCTTATTTTGTAATGTTGGGGGTACTTGTCTGTTCTGGTTTTTAAGAAACCTTATAAATAAAACCCAGTTGTACAACTTTTTACGATCTTCTTCTATTTCCTTCCTTTTTAATGTATACGAGTATTTATTATTTATCTGTGTTAGTAGAGTTTTATTTACATTTTGTATCTTTAACATATAAACCGAATATTTATTTAGATTTTTATGATAAAATATAAAAAATAGTTTTCATTTGGTATATAAATCATTTACCATTTTTGTGGTAATAAAAAATAATATTTTAACGATTAAATTGTTTATTTAAGTATTTCATATCGATTTATTCAGGGGTTATTTGAGGGCTATTTATTGTTAGCACCTCCCTGCCAGCAACTCAACTAACTTTAAATGCATTAAAAGTCGACTTTTTCATCAACTAGTTATGTTTGATTCTTGGATTATTTTTAATAGAGCCAACTGACTATTTTAACATGGCGATGTCCTACGCAGTAGTCAATTGTCCGACTATGCATGACTTTTCAACTAGCTTAAAGTTAGTTACTAAAAAATTAGCTTAAAGGTAACTCTTTATTAACTAACTTAAAGTTAGTTGCAGAAAAGTCAAGTAATAGCTTTCTTTTGTATTCCCTACTGTATTAATTAATTACATTTTAATTAAATATATTTAAAATTTAACTACTAGTTATCTAAATTACGTTTCGCTGTAATACAAGTTATGATATTAGTTCGTTAAAATTAATAGACATCAGTTTTCTGCAGGGGAACTAATAATAACACCGGTATTCATAAAATTATGAATGATTTGTTCATTTTTTCCATGATTCCGATTGATCCAAATCTAAAATAAATTTTAAAATGTTATGTGTAATGTTAACTGTTAATGTATTATATTTACAGTATTAATCACCAGAGTTTTGAAATATTTAACCTTTTATAATTAATTTTTCCAATTTACTGACTCTTACTTCACGACGTATACAAAAAAATGACAAAAATGTAAAACAAAATTCCAAATAATAAAGAAACATGAGAATACATGTCGAAACAAAGTGCTCTCCAGATAATTTTGGGGTACTCCCGCATTATATGATAGTTAGCTTGTAGCTAGTCTCTAAAAGTCGGTTGTTTACGTTAATAAATACCAAATTTTGGAACATTTCTGCATTACATTTTTGTTCGTTTATAGTCAGTCTACTAAAATTAACAAATAAAATCATAATAATAGAGAAACAAGAGAAAACATGTTGAAATACAATTAATTCTCTCCAGATAAGTTTGAGGCACTTCTGCATCACATTATAGTTAGCTTGTAGTTAGTATTTAAAAGTTGGTTCTTTACGTTGCCAAATACAAAATTTCGGGACAGCTCTGCATAACATTGTATTTAGCTTAT